TATTATTATTATTATTATTATTATTATTATTATTATTATTATTATTATTATTAATTTTTACTACAACATTTCATGATGTAATAATTGAAACGTTCGACAATTTTATTAGTAAAATATATCCTAATATAATTATACATATCCTTCTCTCTATCATCTTTCGATACGAATGATTACTTTGCGGAAACAATCGTTGAAACAATGAGTTATTTCCTCCTCACTTGAGATGACTCGTTCTCCGGAATGATCATCAAATGCGAACCGTGTAAATTCACCGTTTCGTCGTGCCAGGGACTTGCGAAATGCGAGTAATGGCTTTCGCCGCGCCAGGTCATTCTTCCGCCTGCACGGACGAGGCGCGATAAAGCTCCTCCTCGTACGAACATCGCGTCGACATTCCATTTTCGGAATGTAGTGTCTATCCCATCCGGGGATGGGATCCGCCTCTACACAGTGTGTACCGGGAAAGTGTATCCGACCGCAGTGCTCTGCAGCGGTGCCCCGTGTAATTTATTTCGGCAACGAACTTTAGGAGTTTCCTTGAAATATTGCGTCCTACCGACCTAATTGTGAACTTTACATCGGGTCAAGAACGGACGTGTGATGCGAAAGAATGAAACGAGATCAAGATCCCATTTTTGACAAAGTTCGAGTTTCCCTCGGAGCTCCTCGGACTTCCCCCGAGTCGGGTTAAAATAACGTTTGAATAAAGCCACCACCGACGGAACGTTGACATTTTCAAGTTTGCAAAGTTTGTGCAAATTTGCTTCTGCAACTCTTCTGGAGTTTAGCCGTGTACCCTTATTTCTTAATTATCATCATTACTTCATCATCATTTTATAAACGGTACGGCAAGATTGTATTACGAAGTAAAGTAAACAGACTTTCAATCCTCCACTTTATACCTGTCAGTTTCACCGCGTTATATTTTTTATTATTACGATATAGTTTTGAAATCTATGAATTCCGAATCTCACTTCTCGGTCTCTCTTCGTCATGTTTGCGATAATGATCCCAGGCGAAATACTTTAAAAGAGTGTCGCTAGTGTCGTCCGTTGTTCATTGCTTACGAGCTTAAGCGTAAACATGATTTATTCGCGGATTATGCGTCGCGTCATCGTGGAAAAACGTATTATCGCCCCGGTGACGTCGGGCTTGCGCGCCGACGCGACGCCGCCGTCGCGATGCATGCAGTTTTATTTACCCATTAGAGCGTGCGTTTCTTGACGTTGCCACGGTACGCCAGTCGGGATATGCTAAAGTTTATATATTTTTAGTTTATATACATGTGTGCTTTCCCGGAGAATACGCCCTGCCTATTATTTTATTTTCTTCCCTCACGACTACAAGAATATACGAGGGGGCGAACGAATCTATGCGAACTCGTTTCCTCTCGACGTTGCCATGAGACGAATCTTTTATACGAGAAAGAAAATTAAATTATCCTTTATACGTTCGACACGAAGAGAATGGCTTTGTTGAAAAATTTAAAAATATGGTCTGATAATCTGAAAATGATTTTATTAGGGCGTTAAAATAATTATGTCTAAGACACTTGAGATAATACTGAAAAAAATTTGTATATTCTAGCGATTACTTTAATGTCCTGGAATTTTTAGATATTTTAGCGAAATCTTTTTCCATGTACATTTAATGGAAGTCGAATCAACACAATATATTGAACAATGTTACATTTACGATTCTGTTATATTGTATTTACAATTTGTTTTGTCATTAAACTAGTTTTTCAATTATTATTTTTGTACTTCGTATCACCATTTCTATATTATAAAATATAATGTTTCATATTTTCGAGACTGCTTCGTTCTGAACATCATTATTATTCAACTCATGTACTGAATATTTTTTTTCTGATTTAGATCTCAGAACATAAAGTGGATAATAGTCAAATAGTAACGTAAACGGTGTTTGTTGGTAATTGTGTTACGATAGGAACATCACTATTTCGAGAAAAATAAAGCAGTTTTATTGAAGTATTAACAATACGAAAGTCACTTTCGTGTTAGTCACGTATTTCATTTGCATATTTCAAAACTTTTTCAATGAAAAATGTAAACTGCTTGCACGCTGAAAAAAATTGTTATATTTCGCCAGCATTTTTAATCGTCGTTGCTTATTAATAATCTCTCCTGCCTGTGTTGTTATTTGTATCGAATCTCCGTTACAAGGTCTACAATAATACTGAGACATTTTATTAAATTAAATCATCACTATCGGGGATAATTTCAAATAATTGAACCATTTACTATTCAATGAGTAAATCAACTCATGAGATCTCGTAAATTAAAAAAAAAAGATTTGAATTGAATTTTTATATTTCGCGAATATAAAATATATAAACTGCAACTTTTTGCATACTAAATTATTAAATTATTATTTGAAGATTCTTTTCCTTTCATTTTAACGCAGAATTTTATGTGCAATTCCTTGCGCAGTGCCCGTTGCATAATGTATATATACCATTAACGCCACGTTATACAGCGCGCTCGCGCGAACAATTCTCCAGCCGCAATTGCCGAGTCGACGACGACACTCTACCTCGGCCTCTCTGCCCCCTCCGACTCAAACTTTTACGGTTTACAAGTTTACTTTACGAAGTAAACGCTCGGCCACCCCTCTGTCATTTCCTCGTGCATGAAAAACGAGCGTGTAATTTCGCAGCGTGGCAAATTTCACGAGCGCGATCCTTTAATTTTTCTCAAGCTCTCTGATTTTGAGGACAAAAAACAGTGGTGGCGTATTTTTGGCGTACTTTCGACTAATTTTTCATTGCGTGTTTTTGTCAACAGGATCGATCGGCGGACGGAGAGCAGCATTTGAAGGTGGTGAACTTTGTGGAGGAAAGAGGACAACGAGAAGGAGTCGATCCGCCGTCGAAGGTAAAGCGAAGTGGAACCGGCTGAAAAAGAGAAGAAGAAAAAAAGAGGAAGGCTGAAAACGAAGAGGAGACGCGGTAGTGGAGGAGACGGCGGAGGGGTCGAAAGGTTGAGCGACCTACGGACCACGACGAGGAGGAGGTGGCAGAGAGGAAGGGGTGGCGGCGAGAAAGCAGGAGAGGCAAGAGGAGGAGAAGGAGGGAGAGAACGACCGGAGGAGAAGGACGGAGAAATGATCTTGGTAGGTGACTGGCAAAGTGCTGTGGTGGTCGACTCCTCGACGAAAGGCAGATAGCGCCGCCATTAGTCGTTGCCGGGGCACGGAACATCGGGCCCATGCGCGTTGCGGCCCTGGCCGTGGGCGAAGAAGGGGAGGAGGAGGAGGAGGAAGAGGAAGAAGAGGAGGACGAGGGAGAGGCGGCGGAGGGCTGTGCGGGGCACCACCACGGGACCCGCGGGCCCGCGATGCGCTCCGCGGCTGCCGTGACAGTGGGGGGCAGGAGTCAATGGTTCACCACAGCGTGTCCGATTTTCTTTGTGCTGCTGTTGCTGCTGCCCATCTGGATTCTGACGGTCGTCGACGCGTCTCCCCTTCATCCCGCACCTCCGCACAAAGGTGAGTCACATTTAACTAGCTATTTCTTTGTTAATTCGTTAAAGTAAAATTAATCCCGAAATCTATACGTTCGATCTGACAAGTGTTCTCGAATTCGAAATTAAGTTAGGAAAAAAATCAAATTTTCGTATCCTAAATTTCCTCTTTTACACGTAATTATTTAATTTTTTAATATGACAAAAAGATTTGAGATTATTTTTTATAGAATTGTTAACGAAATTGTGATAAAATGTGAAAAAAAGATTTATTAAAGCTACATGTTTTGTGAATTATTATTTTGATAATATTATTTTAATGATAGTGGTAGCGATTATTTAAAAAATTGCAGAAATAATATTTGATTTTGAATAATTAATTTCTTTATTTTTTCCACATATATTCTTCTTGAATCTTCTTTTATTCATTAAGTTCTATTTCTTCTAATTTTTAATATTTTAAATATTAATGTAAGTATTTAAGTATTTAAATTGATAATGTTTAATTCTTTTTATATTTCAATACCAATGTATCTTTACTTTAGATAAATTTAGTTTTTAAAAGAAAGATTAATTCTTATTTGTGTGTATTGTTTAATTTTATATTACGAGATCGTCAATAATAGTTCTACCCATTTATATAAAATACCAAATATGATGCGGATAAAAAACATAAAATTTAATTTAGCAAAATTAAAAAAAGTAAATTGATTTATCAGCCATTTATCGCTCGTGTTCATATGAGTCTCATGATATACAACGTATATTAAAATATCGCGCCATGTTCGATGTCCCGAAGGGGTCAGGCACTCGCTTCAGGCAGGGATGGTCTCAAAGTCCGATACTTGCCTTTGTCCAACGTGTTCCTTTTGTGTTCCGATCGCTCGATCGGTAGTATTTACGGAAACAATGGTACGCGACCCTAAACGGTGCTCTAATTGTGATCTGGGAGCACGTGACACAAACTGCACTTCGCGTCGCCCCATTGATCGTTCGGACCATTTAATCCGAAAGTCGCTTAAGTCACGTGTTCAACATCCGTTTGTTAAAATACAGATATATATACGTATATCAGCTTTCTCAAATTCATCTGAAAAGTCGCAAACGAAAATTTACAGGGTTAAGGAAAGTAATGGCCGGCTACAGGTATATGAGATAAAAGAATAAAAAGTATGAGATAAGTAATCGAATTGAGTTGATGAATAACGAAGTTGTTCTTTATTTATTCAACTTTTGCTCTCTGGAGAAACAATAATTAGATATCTTAAGGCAAGAACAAAAATATCGGGTCGCGGGTAACTGGATCCGAACGTGACCGGATTGAATCTGAGAGCTTCCGCTTGCCAAATCACTGCTAAGCCACTCGATTCTTAATACTCTCTCATTTCGTCGATATATATCCAATAACGCTCTTACATTACGATTACAATTATTATAAAATTATATCGAATAAATGAAATTTCTTTTTACGTTCCTGAAATATCCACTAAAATTTTTCCATTCGCAAATGTTTCTGATTGGAACATTATTGATTGTCATTTTTAAGCTCTTTTAACGTGTACCATTAAAATGTTTTCCGATATCGGCGAGCCATATTCGCATCTACGCTACTATAAAAATATCGAGACACATATTAAATTCGGCATATGGGAAACCAGTGGCAGGATTGGTGTTTAATGTGTATGCATTCTCCGTGTAAAGTGGACGCGAAACAAGTGCACTTCGGCTGCTGCACTCGTCCGAGATCTGAAAACGCGTCTCTGAGGAGCTCTCTCGGCCGGAGTGGCCGTGGTGAATGCTCGACCGTTCGTTTCCTCTTAAAATTTCCGTGATCCTTTCACCCTAAAATACTAAGTGAATTCCCGCAGAGCGAGTGTAACATTTCGCAGCGCGTACGTAATGCGCGCGAAAATAAATTAATTGATTTTGCAATGCTTCTGCGACGGCATTCGCTGCAGCGTGAATAGATTTAAATAGACAAGATGACTGGAAGAAGGCTCTTTGATATAAAATTATATTAGCGATTTCCAATGAGAGAAAGAGCAAATGTAATTATAGCTCCGTAAGTAGTTGAAATCATTGTAAGTATCGTCAATGATACAAAGAGCGCAAAATATTTTATTTCGATTCATCCGGAACTCTCTTCAATTATTAATAAATCAAGTTAAAAAGAAATTTAAGCCTTGTAATTTGCTCTTCTTGATCTTTTCTTTATAAAGGAGATCTAGATTGCATCCTTATAAAAATATTGAATATTATTGCATTTCTGTGCTAAACGTGACTCTCTAATATCGGTTATTTGATTTGTAAATATGAATATCACACAGAATAGCGTTTATACTGTTTATTTGAGTGTATTAGAATACTATATTAGAATATTATATTTAGATGACATCTTTATAAAGAATACTGAAGAATATTATTGCATATTCCATGCTAAATGTATCTATTTAATATTGGTTGTCTGATTTGTAAACACGAATATCATACAGAATTAGTTTATACTATTCATTTGAACATACTGAACAATATCAATATTAGAATATCAATATGAACCATTCGAATCAAAATAATAATTTTCTTATAACTACAAATAATTATAATATAATTATGAATTTTGTTATAATTTGTTATTTTGCTCGATTTTTTCGATGAATTTTTTGATGAGAAGAGACAAAAAAATTTGCAATTATTATAGGCCCCAAAAATGGTATCGTGGTATATTTGCAGTTTTCTTCCATCATGAATAACAAATTCTATGCGTATTCCTTTACATTATGTAGAGTTCAGATAGAGTAATAAAAGAAGCTCCGGTATGTTGAAATACTACTTTGAGTCATTGTTCGACGTTGTATTATTAGTAAGCTTTCAATAATGATGTACGATCATTATTCTTAAACTATAAGAGAATTTTTTTTAATATCTCGTGAAAAGAATTTTAAATATTTTTAAAATTTATTTTACACCATAAATAAATACAATTCTATATCATCCTCAAACGAGTTTCATGTTATATCTCTTTTTCTTTGTTCCACAAAAAAATTAACGGAATGATTTTTTTTTTCTATTTACCCGAGGAAACATGAACTCGGTTTGTTCGCTTTTCCAATCACGCCAGCATCCAACACAGACGCATTTTTACGGCGCGACTCATCTTCGCGTGACTCGCGCTTTACGGTTTGCGCAACGCATTCTTTTCAAGACGGTCATTAATAGAACATCCGTTTTCTTTCCGTGTGCTTTTTCAGATATCACGCGCGGCTCGTACATCAGGTACTATGAGGCAGCCACGTATGACACCGCGGCCTTGAGACGACATCGCAATCGGATACGTCGCGACGTCATCGACTCCGAGCAACCCCTGATTCTGAATCTGAAGACGCTTGACAGGTGAGTGTGAGCCTCATAAGTAAACTCCCTCGTAACGCTTCTCTCGATCTCGGTACACATAACGGCTCTCTCTTTTTCTCGTTTCTTTTTTCTCTTTTTCTCGTGTATTCCAAAGCAAAGACAGAAAAATCGATACGGAATCTGGACACCATGGAGGAGTCCATGAAAATTTCAGGATGACCGAACGCTCATTTCTAAATCTCTCGACGATACGACGAATGTTTTTGAAATTTGAGGAAAAAATTTGAAATTTCGATTTCTGCGAGTCTAGAACACGTTGAAGAATTTTGCATGATTTTTTGCACGGTACAGACGAAAGTTTCTCTGAGCAGGCTACCTCGTCATAATACGATCTCTTACAAGTGGCATTTCGAAAATGGCGAATATACGTATCTCCTACACACCGCTCGTAAAGCGATCGGGGACAAAGTTGGCAGTGTGTGCCGCCCGCACGCTCTCGGTATGTCCTTGTTAGGTCAGTGGTACCAGGATCCGATTAAAGATGGTGGCCAAGATCAATTCATATGTGCGCTTATACAGCTCGTATAAATTGCGCGTGTCACCTATTTCATTTCTTTAATTAATGCAACAATAATACATATTTCTTTTCTCTCTCTCTTTCTCTCTCGTTCTGTCCCTTTTCTTCCCCTAATGCATAACATTTCTCTCTCTTTTTCATTGAAATAAAAATTTACAAATGGAAAAAAAACTACTATTTTATCAAAAAAGAAGATTGATTCTACGGTTTTCAGTATGTTTCCAGAAATACTTGATGCTCCGTTTTTATTTTTATCTTTGATAAAAAAATTTCCTCTCATTCTACCATGCTCAATGAAGTATGTGAGAAATAATTGTTGAAATGTTTTCTACGGCGAGAAATTTTCATTGCGAGGCAACAATATAAACGTTTATAAACATAATGATGATTACAATTGAAAATTTGTAGAAGAATATCCTCTCTTTTTCCATGAATATCAATTTGTATTCGCATATCGAACTGAATTTACTATCCAGGATGGCAATCACAGAGTTTCACTCTCACGGTTATTTAATATAAGAGACATCGCAGAAAGTTCAATTTATGATAGCGCTCCAGTTCAGCTACGATACAAACCGCGCTCTAGTCAGTGTCTGTGTATTACGACGGAACCGTTTAAATATTGAATCGCGCTTTCACTCGAGACGTATTTTATAAACTTAGGAAATGGCCGTTAGATAACGGTCTGACTTCGTTTTGTCTTTCGAATAATAATGGTATAACGGCTACGGCTTTCTCAAATTCCTCTATTCATTTCTATATCGTGAGTGCATAATTAAGGTAATTACAAACTTCTCATTCCGTTAATGTAAATAAATGTCTGTTTATTTAGCAATCGTTTTTTATGAACTGCAGAACTACATTATACTCTTGTTATTTTTATTTTTATTACAAAAATTAGGAAAAGAATTAATAATAGAAAAATTGTATCTAATGACTTGAATCTGAAAAGACAGTTATATAATTCGCGTCTTCCATCAAATTTTCTCATTTTGTTGTTTAGGAATAGAATTGGATTAAATCGTACGAGAGTTTTTAATCATCGATATTTTATTAAGTGTAATTTGTCATGAATATTAAAATGTGATCACAAATATAAGTAGAAATTTAATTTTAGAATTGATTATTTACATGGAAATTTTGGACCTTATATAATTAAAAGCGTGAATTAAAAAGCATGAATTGAAAATGAGATAAATTTCTATTAATGTCTTACAATTTAATTAATTTTCTTTGTTCCTTTAATTCCTATGACATAATTCAATACTCTTTTTAGATTAAATCAAATCTGTTAACTTTTTCGTGTATAAAACACATACGTATTATTTCTTATATTTTGTTATTTTTATCTGGTATATTTATATTTTGTGTAACAGTAAAACAAACTATATTTCATTATCTTCTTTATTAATTACTAGCGTATATTACACTATATATAGAAAATGCAGAGTGAGCAACTCTTTCAATTACATTATGAGATAATCAAATTAATTTATAATAGGTCGAGTTTGATGAATTGTGTACCACATTAACTCACCTATCCAATCCGGTCTGTGCGAAAATTTCATCGAATACTGCACGAGGTGAGAGGAGGGGGGGGGAGGGATAGCATTAAACATTTGTTGAACTATACATTATGCAGGGGACCGTGACGATCACGTGCACCATGCAGATTGCAAAGTTACAATGAGAAGTCCAGCGTCTCGGCTGTGGCGAGGTGACCCAGTAGAAATAATTTGCGCACGAGCCCATCGCCGTTTCTCCTTTCTTCCCTCCCTCCCTCCCTCCCTCCCTCGTCCCCTCTCGGGAAAAGGAAAGAGAGACAAGTTCTCGAGGAAATTTCGCCCGTAATTCATAGACGTTAAGCTAATTAACTGGCGGGTACTTCTTGATCC